ATAATTGCAAACTATCTGAAAATTCAAATCGTACTAGAATATTAATATACATTTTATATCTAAATTGAATATGGGTACTACTTTTCATACTATAATAGAAATTAAATTTTCAAACCAAGTTTTAAATACTTCGCATTTCGGTTTATTAGTATAATTTATTAATAAAATGTACCCTTAGGCAAACAAGCGTTAGCAATTAGAAATCCATCTGTTCTTTCAAATTATTTATAGATGAATTAATTCCTTAGAAAAGCAAGTATCAGTGAATGAAAATTAAAGTTATTTTTAGTATCAAATATTTAAAAAATGTTTTACCAAGCGAGCAAGCATCAGCGATGAGAAATCCAACTGTCTTATGGTAATTTATGTTAATAATTGAATTCTTTAGGTGAAACAGTATCGGCAATAAGGAACCCCATTTTTTTTAGTACTATTTACTAATACATTATTTCTTTAGACGAGCAAGCATCAGCGATTTGAAACCCAACTGTTCTTTAGTACTATTTCTTAACGAATTGTTTCCTTAGGTAAGCAAGCATCGGTTACTAGAAACGTAACAGTTTTTAAATCTTGTTCAGTAATAAACTGTTTCCTCGAAAGAGCAAGCATCAACGAATAAAAACAAGTGTTTTAAGTATAAATTCTATTAAAAATGTTTCCTTCGACAAGCAAGCAGCAGCGATAAGAAATCCAACTGTGTATAGTATTATTTATTGATAAGTTAATTTCTCAGGTGAAACAGCATTGTCAATAAGGAACCCCACTTTCTTTTAGTATTGTTAACTAATAAATAATTTTCTTAGACGAGTAAGCATCGGCGATTTAAAACCCAACTGTTCTTTAGTATTATTTCTTAACAAATTGTTTCCGTAGATAAGCAAGCACCGGTGACTAGAAACTCAACGGTTTTTACGTATTATTCAGTAATAAATTGTTTCCTTGAAAGTGCAAGCATCAACGAATAAGAACAAGATGTTTTTAGTATAAATTATTAGAAAAATGTTTCCTTAGGCCAGCAAGCATTGGCAATAAGAAACCCAACTGTTTCATAATATTATTTATCAATTAATCGGGTGTTTAGGCAAAACAGCATCGGTGATTAAAATCGAACTAATTTTTGTTATTGTTTATTGATAAATTGTTTTCTTAGGCAAGCAAGCGTTGGCGATTTAAAATCAAACTGTTCCTTAGTATTGTATCTTAACGAATTGTTTTCTTAAGTAAGCAAGCATTGGCCATTAAAAACCCAACTGTTCTGTAGTATTATTTATGACCCACTTTTTTTCTTAACAGAGCAAGCATCAGGTAATAGAGATGAAATTGTTTCTTACTATAAATTATTTAAAAAATATTTTCTTAGGTGAGCAAGTATCGGTGATAAGAAACCTAACCATTTCATAGTTTTATTTATTAATTAATTAGTACATCCAATTATTTTTTAATATTATTCTTCAATAAATTGTTTCTTTATAAGAACAAGCATCAACGAATAATTAAGACATTATTGTCGAGTATAAATTATTTAAAAATGTTTTCGTAGGCGAGCAAGCATCTACAATTTTAAACTTAACTATGATTTAGTTTTATTTATTAACAAATTGTTTTCTTAGCTAAACAAGCATCCACCAAAAAAAATCTAACTGTTTCTTCGTATTATTTATTAATATATTGTTTATTAGGCAAGCCAGCACCAGCAATAAAAAACCCCACTGTTTCTCGATATTATTGATTAACAATTTTTTTTCTTGGGGGACTAGTAGTAATTATCTACTCTACTGTTCTCTAGTATTAATTATTTATTAGTATAATAATTTTTTCGATAAGCAACTATCGGCGATTAGAAACCCAACTATTTTTCAGTATGACTTATTAATTAATTCTTTAGGTTAGCAAGCATTAGCAATAAGAACCTTAACAGTTTCTTAAAATTACTTATTGATACATCAATTCTTAGGGAATTTTTTTTTTTTTAGGTAAACAATCATCGGCAATAAGAAACCTAACTATTGTTTAGCATTATTCATTAATAAATTATTCTTTCAGATGCGCAAGCATCAGCGATAAAAAATCTAACTGAATTTTAGTAGTGATAATTGATAAAATGCTTTCTTAAACAATCAAGCATTGGTGATTAAAAACTAAACGGTTTTTAAAATTATTTATTAATAATTAGTTTCAGAGGAGGGCAAGCATTGGCAATTACTGACGTAACAATTTTTTAATAGTAGTATGTTAACAAAATATTTTTTCAGGTGAGAAAGAATCGACGATTAACAACCCAACTGTTTTTTAGATTATGATTTCACAAAATAAACCTTTGATCGAGCAAGCACTGGCTACTAGTAACCCAAATGTTTTAAGAAGAGTATAATGTATTTATGAAAGCCGCTCTTAGGTAAACGAGCATCAGCTATTGGAAACTCAATTGTTTTTAACATTATCCATTAATTTTATGTACCCTTAAAAAATTCAGTAAAAAAAATATTTTTTCGTTGGAAAAAGCATTAGTGATGAGCAACCCAACTGGTTTTCAACAATTATTTAATAATAAAATATGCCCATCGACGAGTCAGCATCAGTGATAAGCAATCCATATTTTTTAAATTAATTATACTAAATAACAGTTGAGTGGCTGATTGCAAATACTTGTCCACCCAATTACGATTAAAAACAGTTTATTTTCTAATCGCCAATGCTTGCTTGCCAAAAAAAAATTTTGTACATGATTAATATTCAAAAACAGATGGGTTTCTAATCACTGATTCTTACTTGCCGAAGGAAAAATTGTATTAATAATTTATACTCAAAAGCAGTCAAAATTTTAATCACTGATGCCTGCTCTTCTAAGAAAACAATTTAATAATGATACTTAAAAACAGTAGGGTTTCTAGTTACCAGTGTTTGCTTGCCTAAAGAAAAAATTTGTTAATAATTAATACTAAAATTCAGTAGGGTTTCTAGTTACCAGTGTTTGCTTGCCTAAAGAAAAAATTTGTTAATAATTAATACTAAAATTCAGTAGGGTTTCTTATTGCCCATGCTTTTTATCGATTGAAATTTTATTACCGATTGATGGAAAAAAAGTTGGGTTTCTTATCATTGATGCTGTTTATCTAAAAAAATCTATTAGAAATGAATACAAACAACAGTTGGGTGTCTTATCGCAACTACTTGCTTGCTTAAGATAAAATTTTATAAATAAATAATAATACACTGCTCACCTACAAGAAGTATTTGTTAACAAATAACAATACAAAATAGTTTAGTTGAAAATTGCAGATGGTTGCTGGCCCAAGGGTACGTTTTGTAACTAAGTAATACTAAAATTCAGTTGAGTTTCTGGTCACCGATGCTTACTTGTCTAATGAAATAAATCATGAATGAATAATACTAAAAAGCAATTGGGTTTCTAATCACTGACGCTTGCTCACCTATGAAAATGTTTTAATATTTAAAAACAGTTGGGTTTCTAATCGCTGACGCTTACTTACCTAAGTTTGGATTATATTCAGACAGCTTAAAAGCCAGTCGGTTATATTAGAGCAGATATAGATATTATTTAATATTAAGTGGACGTTGCTCTACATAATTTAGACTTGAAAAGGACTGCCTTGAGTGCAGTCGAAACGTTGTCAACTGAATAAAAGACTGAACAGTAAGCCCTTGGAGTTTATTAATTCTTCGTAAAGATAGGATGTCGGTAAAACCAGTATTTAATTAATGTTTCAGAAGTATTTGACCTATGTTTTACCTAAACATATGACCGACTAACAGAAATATGTTATATACTTACGAAAAAGTTGTAAACAATATTATTTACACTATACATTACTACTTATCACCGTTGCCGTATCAGTCATTGAGCGAATTTTCTATGTGACTGTACCAAATATCACTAAAAACCGAAAATACGAAAAAAGGCCTCAAAGTTTTACCAAAAAATGAAGAAATTTATTTCAAACCATAACAACTAATTAAATGTTAAAAACAGATATACCTATGTTTCAGCGCGGCAATTTGAGAGGAAAAAAAATCACATGCTTCTGTAAAAAGTAACCGTTGAGAAATATATATAACTTAAATACACTGTGTATTCAATTAACTGTTATTCTTGTATGTGACAAATAATGATAATGGCACCATAATTAATTAGCCATCGTTCATGTTAATGTAGTGGAACGTATGATTCTCCATCAAAATACTGTAAAGCGTATAATTCTTCGTTGGAACAACTACCTGTACGATTCTTCGTCAGAACAGAGCTGCTTGTACGATTCTTCTTCGGAACATAGCTGCCTATACGATTCTTCGTTGGAATATAAGCTGCATGTACGATTCTTCGTTGGAATATTAGCTGCCAGAACAATTCTTTCTTATAATATTAGTTGCCTGTACGATTCTTCTTGGAAAATCAGCTGCCAGAATGATTCTTTGTTGGAATATTAGTTGCCTGTACGAGTCTTCGTCGGAACAGAGCGGCCTGTATGATTCTTCCTCGGAATATTAGCTGAGCGTACGATTGTTCGACGAAACATGGCTACCTGTACGGCTCTTTGTCGAATGTTTTATGGAGTACGTTTTTTTGTATAGGGCGTCGAAATATTGGCTTTCCTCGAAAAAGAACTCTTTGGAAGTTCAGATATCATCTAACAAAATCTATTCATTGTCTAGTATATAATAAGTAGTTTTTTGGTATCTTGAGTACTTGGCGAAAAAGCCTGAAAAAATCATCTCTATAATTCACAACAGCATTTAAACCCACAACCCCTTGAGTTTCTCCAGCTAGAAAAAAAGCACGTTATTTTTCAAGTCAACGAAGCTCTTTACGTTGCATTACTGTTTATGCTTATTTTACAGTATAGAATACAAAGCCACAGGATTTCATTAGTAATATTGAGCATTACCTTTTGATTTAGGACTAACAAACTAAATTAATTCCAATGAGAGAAACAATATAATGTTATTATGTTATGTCAAACTTTAAAATGTAAAAAGGATACAACCATACATATACCACCAAATATAAACATCATTACAAAATCAGCTGTTTTTCCACGGAACGATCCTTCTTCTAGCATACGGCAATATCTATATGTGAATATTATGTTAAAGAAAAAATTGAATCCAATTGTTCCAAAAAACAAAAATGTTGTGATCAAACGCCATAACTACAAAGAAAATGAAAATGATATTTTTATAAAAAAATTTTCTTATTTGTACAAACTCTTTTAAGGATGATTACTAATAAAGTAAGTATAACGTAGTTCTTTCAAATAAAAATCAATACACTGTTTAATTACCTGAAATTGTTTTGTTATCAAAATTGGATTGAAATAAAGTTGAAAAGGCGATATCAAATCTAGTTGCTGAAAAAATATTGTCCATGTACTAGTTGAACCAAATTTTAAAGAAATTTTTTTAATTTATTGTTTAACGTAAGTTAAAAGAATAATATAAAAAAAGTGAGAGAATACATGAAAAATCGGTAGTACACTATATATGTCTTCTTATAACTAAACAGTGTGTCTGGCTTTTTATGTTGCTTTGAACTAATATGTTATATTTTTTCTTTTTATTGATAAATCATAAAAAATACCTTAAAAGCATATTTTGATGCACGTATAAGATCTAAGTGTAATTGAGTTGTTATATAAGACTACTTTTAATAGAGTAAATACTTCATTTTAATTACATTAGAACACACTCTCTATAGCAGTATTGCGATCAAAGAGCTTATGACTTGGCAGAAACTGGAAAAAATAGTTTAATTTAGATTTATACTATTGCTTAAAAATAAAAAAGTATTTTATCTTCCTTGTGTCATCGATAAGTCTAGTGTGAATGTAAATCAGCTTTGACACGGTTCGTCTAGTAACACTATTGATGCCTCTGTTCAAACATATAATATTTTTCTCCACGCAAAAAAAAATTAAAATTTTTTATGTTGTCAAATTTTACTCACAATTTCATGTTCTGCAAAGTTGTTTTCATTCTGCTTATGCAGTAATAAGAAATGACAAATTATTTGTCTTCGAACTATCCAACTTACCTACTGACTAGAGCAGTAGTTAGGCTTATTTGGATGGAATGTGTGCATACAGCGCAAGCAAGCGGAAGAGAGAGAGAGAGAGAGAGACAGAGAGTACGTGAATTCGTATGCAATTGTTACATCCCGAGTTGATATAGTATAGATGAATCATACCATGAGTAAAAATGCAATTCATTCGTCGAATTCATACACGTTATAATGTGTATGTACACAGGTTCATATGACAAGTGGAGCTTGTACGTCACTTCTATGTATGTGTGTATATTAGCTTCAAGGTACATGTTTTATAATATGCTGACATATAGTACGGCCAGCCTCGTTGTAACAAGGCATGTATGTATTAAAATTGTACGTTATATGTATTTGTGTATGAATAAATAGATTCTTTAGCTATATTGATTTTGTAATAATTCAGAGAAAGCTTAGTAAAAAACAAATAAGAAAACATAAATTATTTGCACATTGATTGTTCATTTTTAATAATGTATACTTATTTTAAAACTGTAAATGAAAGATTACTTCATTAGATTAAAAATTGATTGTAAAACCTTCAAAAAGGATTAATTGCGAAATTTTTAATCTTTTTCTCTTTCTGATGCTACGAAAATGCACCATCAAAAGAATTAATTACTCTTTTTACACCGGTCACCTATCCCCTAAAATTTTAGTCAACTTTTGACTTCCGCGTCCCGCGACTACCTTATAGTACGAGCAAACTAGATTTTTGACTGAGAAATTCAGACTGGGCCAAAAAAATTTTTTTTGTACATATCTTGAGCTTGATAACAAACGTAACCACTTTCGGACAAAAAAAATGTCAGCAAAAGATCCAAAAAAAATGATATAAATGGCAAAATCAGATTTTTCACTTCCACCGAAAAAGCTGTAATTCGGTAAAAAAAACGTTTCATATGAAAAAGATGCGCAATTTCAAGACAAACAAAATGAGCCCTGTAAACCCAAATCGGCCTTACCGTTTTTCCGCTAATTTCCAAAAACTGCCAATTTCACCCTGTTTTTCGGTACTTCGTAACTGGAGTTCTAATTAATATTTTGACTTCAAATTCTAACAGTACATAGATTTTATGATTTTTAACAAACCTAAAAAATTTCAAGATCATCGGTTGTAAACTTTTTGCAAACCGTCAAATAAACTAAAAAAGGTCCTTCCGAAAAATGGCTCTAAAAAAGTTGTTAGACCACATTTTTCAAAATGTTTTCTCTTAATAAGATGCATTTTTTCGCAAAGTACCCGCGGTGGCTCGCGGCGGTGCTAGATTGAGCGCACCACCGATTTAGGCATCTCCCACTTCCTCACAGCGCCGTGCCGATCTAGCGCCACCGATGGTACTATGCGAAAAAACACTATTTTACCATACGATTTTAGGATACTTACGAAAAAGTTAGAGATATGAAAATTTCACTAGTATTAGATTAACATCTCATTAAGAGAAAAAATTTTGAAAAATGGTTCTATGTGGTCTAACAACTTTTTTAGAGCTATTTTTCGAAAGGAACTTTTTTAGTTTATTTGACGGTTTGCAAAAAGTTTACATCCGATTGTCTTGAAATTTTGGAGGTTTGTTAAAAATCATAAAATCCATGTACTGTTAGAATTTGAAGTCAAAATATTAATTAGAACTCCAGTTACGAAGTACCGAAAAACAGGGTGAAATTGGCAGTTTTTGGAAATTAGCGGAAAAAAGGTAAGGCCGATTTGGGTTTACCAGGGCTCATTTTGTTTATCTTGAAATTACGCATCTTTTTCATATGAAACGTTTTTTTGGCCGAATTACAGCTTTTTCGGTGGAAGTGAAAAATCTGATTTTGCCATTTTTACCATTTTTTTGTATCTTTTGCTAACACTTTTTTTTGTCCGAAAGTGGTTGCGTTTGTTATCGTGTATGTACGCATAACGTGTTGGTTGAGGTAACTCAGGTGTATTTCAAGGGCATCAATAGTCCTGGACTACGATAATGCGTAAGGTACAGCGTAGGAGGCCCATCAAAAGTGATTTCAGCGATAGTAGAGAAAGCAGAAACGGCAACTTTTTTTTGACCACAAACTCATTCGTATCGTTTAAGGGATCAGTAAAAAATGCTGCACGAAGCATTAGGAAACTCTGAAGCAGCAGTAACAACCATCAGTAATAAATGTAAGTTAGTTGTCAGTAACATAATTAATACAAAATCTTGTTGGAGTGACCCAAATAAATTGTGTTTAAAAGAATAAATTATTTTTTATTGTTTTAATAAGAGATTATGGTAACTAAATTTATTAGTATTATTTAAAATGCTGTTATGCAACTAAAAAGAACAAATAAAGCTCACGAGCCGAATTCTAGAAGATCCACAAACGACACTAAAATAAAACGGTTAATAGCATACTCTGAACAAGTCTGGTCACCTTTCCATCTCCACCGCTGTGTATCACCACCCAGTCACCTACCAGCTCCAGTAGAAGCTTGGATCTGAACTTCTGCTGGAACAGAAGCAACTATCTTACTACCTTAGAGCCTCGAGCACAGTTTTCTCATCATTGTTCGATCTCGACAGCCGATTCAACACCCCCAAAGGCAACTCTCGTCAGCCCTAACTTCCCCTCGCTGTTTTAAGTTTTCCACTCTAACAGGCCTTTTTAACAACACCAAATCTTTTGTGACAAATAATCTTAAAATTATCTACAATAACTTAAACTCTAAGAAACTTTCAAACTTGTAAGTTCTGAAGGTAACTCCTAATTAGTCTCAGATCCACTCTTGGGGGTCCAGAAGTAGCATAGGATATTTTTCGACTTGGCACTTTGATTATCTCTAATATTTTAGGAACATACAGTTGTCTACTTTGACTGATTAAATGTGTAACACTAATCAATATTCCTTGTGAACGTACACGTTCGTGCAATTCATTATTTTTTGAAGAGTTAGTATGGCACGCGGTCGCTTTGTTGCTCAAGTTTTTCCACTGAGTACAGACAGTAATGCACAATGCTCAGTTGAAGAGCCTCAACAAGCGAGACATTTAAATTTGCACAACCTGTCCACGTTGATTCTTAGAATCAAATTTATTACCATTCGCCGTATCAGTATGATTCAGCATTAGCGTCAGACATATAGTAGTAGGGTTCTCAGATGGCCGAGGTGCCACATAAAGCAGAATGACATTGGTGGCAGCCTGAGTGTACTTTAAGTTAGCGGTATTGAAGGTAACAGCATGTATGAAACTATCTGTTCCAACATGAACTGCGGTAATTCATCCAAGATGTTAGAGCCCGTTAAAGAGAAGGAGCAATTGATCTATGAAGATGTCGTTTACCTGAAATTTTCACTGGCAAGAGTTCTATTTCAATTGCTGTTGTAGGATGATTCTATACTTTTGACTCAAACGAACCCAAAATTAATCGTGAACGCCTTGTATAAACTGCCACAGGATCATGTGATTCAAATCAACTTGAAGACATCCAATTTCTATTGTGGTGTTGACGGGTGTATGGCAGCTCACGAGCTGTTTGGTGACCCAAATCATAGGTTAAGTACAAATAATGGACTGACAAAGATGAGCCTTGACTAAAGTCAAGTGTCAAAAGTCAAGTATTGCAGATGACTACAGCCTCAAATGATACTTTTTACAGGATAAGAAGGAGTTCAGTGTGGCGTGTGAGGGCTTAACTGTAGTAAAGCTCATTCGAATAGTAGTTGCGTTAGCTAAGCTGAACACATGACATGTACGGACGACCGAGGTATGACAGACACCTTTAATGTGGCACGTATTTATATTTTTCCGTAATATGTACGATAAATTAAATAAATGCATTTGTAGAGAAGGGTGAACATAACAATCATTACAAAAACTTTTTACGTAAAAACGATGAAGCCTTTTATTTGATAACAGTACAGATCTAATTTCCTAAAATTGCCAGTAGTGCCTTGTAGCGAGGTAACTGTAGCATGGAGATGGGGTGTATGAGAAAATCTAGGAAACTTTTAACTTTAGTGATCTGTAGTTTGACTTAAAAAATTGCATGTTTAGTTTTATTTCTGATTAAAGTAAATGTAACTTATTACTAACTATGTATAGAACAATGGCAGTAAAAAGTTTCAAGCTCATTAAATGCTTTTCCTTCTTTTAAATATAAATTTTGTAATGAAAAATGCAAAATTTGCGTTTGAGACTTCCAAAATATTTCGAGTCTTTAACAATTTTATTTGTACGCCCCACAATGAATTGATTTTATAATACTTGCATCAAGTAATTATAACCTTTCTACAAAACATTTTAAAGTCTGCAAAGTGTGCCCTCAAAAAGAATAAATTATTTG